GTCAAGACCCCACTGTATTTTAATCAGGGACACACATCGCACACTGTTCTTCAGTAAGATGTAGAGGAGCCCACACTAGCTTTCTCCCGTAAATTGGTATTTACAGTGATGGCACCAATGATCAGCTGCCTTTCTCGTGCTTGGTCATTAGTCTCATCTTACCCAAGGCTTAGCTGATAAGGACAACTCCTAAGTTAATGTGCATTGAGCGAGACTCTGCTAAGTCTCTAGGTTACTCTGTTTTTGAAATCTAGGCCCAGGCGTGTATCAGGAGATACTAATCCCAGGTTCCAGTCCTGGCTCAGGAGCTGGTGACCGTGGACAAATCTCTGCCCTTTCTGTACCTTCATTTCCATCGTCAGTGAAGGGAACCCAGGCAGTTCCATATGATCAACAATTACAATCCAGGTTACATCCAACAAAAACGAGTACATTTGTGCACCCAGATACACATTCTAGAAAGTTCACAGCACCACTATTAACAGTTAAATCATAAATAAATTGTGATAGTCACACAATGGAGTATTATAGTGATGAGAACGAACGATTGGCAACTACAAGCAACAATAGGAATGTATCTCACAAGATAATGTTGAGTGGGAAAAAAGCAGACACAAAGGACATATGCTCTATCATTCTCTTTGTAGAAAGTTCACAAGACAGGCTAGTGAGAAGTCAGGATAATGATCAGCCCTGGGACGGTAGTGATGAGAATGGGTGGAGGGGTGGGAGGCATGAGGGAGGCTACAGGAGCTGCTCATGTTCTGTATCTTGATGGACAGGTACTGGTTCCATAGGAAGATCCACTTTGAAAATTCATTGAGTGTGCATGTAATAATTAGAGCAATTTTCTGTATGTATATTGTACTTCAATAAAAATTTATAAATGTATCACAAAACTGGTTAATTTTTAAGCCTGGCCAGTGTGGCTCAGTGGTTGAGTGTTGACCCATGAACCAAGAGGCCATTGTTCAATTCCTGGGGGCATCTGCCACTTTCAGAAGAGGAAGGTTAAAATAGCGGGTTAGGTCATACTGGCGTAGGATGGGCACCGAATCCAGTAAGACCAGTGTCCTTAGGAGAAGAAGAAAGTTGGGACCCAGCCAAGCATAGAGAAAGATGGTGGCCACTGGCGTGACAGGAATGCCCTGGGCTACCAGAAGCTGGAGGAGGCAAGCGACTATCCTCCCCTAGAGGCTGGGGAAGAAGCAGTGCCCAGCAGACACCTTCGTTTTGGACTTCTAGCCTCCAGAACTGTGAGATAATAAATGTCTGTTGTTTTCAGCCACCTAGTTTGTGTACTTTGTGACAGCCACCCTGGAAATGAATACACCATCTAAGGAAGAAAACAGGAGCCCCTGCAGATCACGAAGGGGGTTTTACAAAGAGTCTGGATCCCAATCAATAATTGGAGGTTGTTTAACCACATCAAAGCAGCGGGGGTTGGCCAGGGGGTGGAGAGAAGCCAGCCAGAGCCTCTTGGGCACCCCTTTGATCACTGAAAGCAAGGTGTGCTCCTCGGGATGAAAAGGATGCATGAGATAAGATGGCTCTGAAGTGAGAGTCTTAAGTGAGAATTCTTTTTGCACGCCCCTCCCCCCCCCTTGGGAACTCTGGGATATTAGCAGTGGTCTTTGAAAGCCAGGCTGCCAGTCAGCGTGCCCTTCAGAAGTCCTGCTTGCCTGGACTAAGGCACCCAGAAGGCAGCGGGAAGGGGGCAAGGGCTTCTCTTGGTGAGCAGAGAAGGCAGGGGCAGGGGAAGTTGAACCACCTCAGCCTATGACATAGCGGCCTGAAGGTGGGGTTATTTTTGAAGATCACACAGGATGATGCCATTCAAATGGCCTCTGAATCAGCCCTGGGGGCAGGTGTCTCAGGTTCTGCTTACCTATCCTCAGACGTCCTGTAATGAACTGTAATGAACTGTAGATGTTAGTAGGGGGTTTTCCTCACCTGGGCGTGAGAGTTGAGTGCGTTACACGCAGAGGTGAAACTCTGAGATCAGAGGTTCCTACTGGCGTGGTCTAGCAGAGGAATGAAGATGCTCCGGAGGCAGAGCGGCAGGACAAAGCTTTTCAGGATAGAAAGGAGTTGTCAGCCGCTTCAGATGCAGCCAGGCAGGAGTGCCTGGGGTCCCCCGATGCTGTTGGTGTGAGGCCCATGTCATAGGCCACTGAGATTACTTCCAAGGTCTCCCTTTTCCCTCCCCGGACCAGTGTGAAAGGTCTTTGTTGTCGCGGTTGTAACCCACCTTCCATCCACACCCACCTCCAGATTTGTGCGGCCTGGAGGGGCAAAGTCTCGCTCCATCTTGGCTGGGGAGACATCAAGGGGATGCCTCTCTCCTATGTGTTCTCTTAGAGAGGAAGACCAGAAGCAGTACATCTAACGAGAAGCAACCAGATCACCAGGGCCAGATGGTGTCTTCAGGGTGAATTTGAGAATCACTGGCCAAAGGGGTCTGCAAGACACTGGGCATTGGGTTCACAGAAGCCGGTTCAGAGAGAGAGAGAGTCCAAAAGGGAGGCGACACTGCCCTGGGAAGCCGTGTTTCCTGGCCCAGTGTCCTGCTTCTATCTCCTCGTGGGGAAGCTGCCCATTCTTACTCATTCTGCTGAGATTTGAAGTTTTTTTGTTTGTTTCTGCTGTTGGAATTGGAATAGTTTGAGGTTCACCATGGTCATTCCAATCACAAAGTTATGTTCTAGCCATTCCCGTTCTAAAATTGGAACCTGTGTACAGCAGAGTGACTCTTTCGAGGAACCTGGGAGGGAGGGGGTAGGAGGACCAGCCCCGCTTAACAGACGAAGACCCTGAGGCACAACTGAGCTGCTCAGATCATCCAATGAGCGGTGGAGCCCTGAACTAGTGACTCTTAGAATGATTAACTAGTTGATTTTTTTCCTTAAGCTATTGATTAGTTTTCAAAACACGTACTTACATGTTTAGGACTACTCTATGCACACACTCACTTCTCCCAAATTCTTATGGAAACACCTTCCATTATACAGGGAAGGGAGGGAACTGAATTCCTGTGCCCCAGTGCATTTGGAGCTGCGGCCCCAGGACCAGATTCACAGGGGACCGTGAATGCTGTTTCCCAGTTATTACCATCCTGCTCCCCACCCTCGCTGCTCACCCCTCCCTCCACCTCTAAGGGCCTGCAGAAGCTACCTGTCAGCTGGTCCCCAACACTCTCTCTCAGTCCTTTCTCTCCCATCCCCTCGGCCCTGTGCTCTTGGTTCCCTACCCTTGGGACTGGGGACTTGGTTATATGTTGCCATGCTTCTAATTTGAGGCAAAAAAAAGTGTCCTGAGGGGGTGCGTGGCAGTGTGTCAGGGGTACCTGGTCATCTGGATGCATAGGGTGCACCTTCCTGGAGTGTCATGTTTCTGGAAAGGTTTCTGTGAGGGGTGCCGGGGGGTAGGTAATTTACCTGTTCTAAACAATCTTTTCCACGTGAGAGTGTATAAGAGGCAGTGCAGAAGGTAACATAAAATGCTGCAAAGTGGCAGCTTCGGCTTCTATTCCCAGGTTTCCTCTGAGCAGGGCTTTGCACTGGGGTGTTGGGGAGGGTGGCAATGGGAACCGATCTAGGACAGGAAGAGAAGGAGCAGGTCAGCACAAGGCCCAAGTCCAGGCAGGGACACAGGGTGAGCCACACAGCCTGGTGGCCTAGAGGCCAACACCTGGGCCCAGACTCAGTTGCACTTCTCACAATGGGGGAATGTTGATCTGAAGGGTTTTCCTTTCAGGACTAAAGGGAATAATCCATGCAGCCGACAGCACTTGGCCGGGAGGTGAGCTGCATTCCCAGGCCCCGTTACCAGCATCAGGGGCAGAGGGCTCCCCAAGGAGCCAGGGCAGCATCGGTTTTCCTTTTTGTATTTCCAGAAACGAGCTGGGAGAGGGAGTGAGCATGAAATATCAAGTGTGCCCTGAGGGCTGAGGGATGGTGAGCTGCAGCTAAGGGTCAGCAAAAGGCCGAGAGCTCGTGGCTGGTGAGCAGGAGGAGGGCACATGCGCCCCAGCAGGGGCCCAAGGAAAACTCACAAAGCGCCATCAGAGGTGGCTGGCCCTTCCTTGGCGCTTTCCCTGGGCATGTTAGCGCTTGCAAAACAGGAGCTCTCGTCTCAGTTATGTTTACTTTTGGTGGATATTCAATAGGAAAAAAGTGAATCATTTCACATATTCTATCAGCAGACAAAAGCTTTCAAACAATGGGGAACGTAGAGTGAAATGATGGGACTGACCACTTCCTTAAGCTGATGTGGCCATTCTGGTGTATTACATACTCACATTTCATGAATTTGCATGCACTGAGATTAAAAACAAAAACAAACAAACAAAAACAACCACAGCCCGACCAGCATGGCTCAGTGGTTGAGTGTGGACCTATGAACCAGAGGTCACAGTTCAATTCCCAGTCAGGGCACAGGATTCCCGGGTTGTGGGCTCGATCCCCAGTGTGGGGTCTGCAGGAGGCAGCCGACCAGAGATTTTCTCTCATCATTGATGTTTCTCTCTTTCTCTTCTTCTCCCTCCCAGTCTGAAATCAATAAAGAAATATATTTTAAAAAAGAACAAAATAACAACACAACAGAATCTCAGTCCTAAAAGAGTGAGTTGAAGGCCAGTGCTGTGCAGAAGGGAGCATTCCTGTTGAGTGAATGCAATTCAAAACCAGGCTCCCCAGGTAAGGAGGGAGGAGCAGCAGGAGGTGGAGCTAGTCTAGGTTCCCTTCCCCCACCTCCCGGGCTCTGAGAATAGCTCTTTGTTGAGAGAATACACCTGAGGTGAGCCTTCTCTCCCTCCATTCCACTCCAATTTGCTGGTCAGGTAAGTCTTTCCAGGTGCCCCAGTGGAAATCAAACATCCAGCGTTCACTCACCGACTCCCACACGAAATCAGAGCTTAGCCCGGGTCCTTTCACTAAGAAAGAAAGGGAAATGGACACTGCCCTCTGAGGTGCCAGACCGAGCCCGCATGGAAATGTTTCTATTCCTCAGACACAAAACCATTTATTTTTGGTCCGTTTCAGTATTTACAGCAGTCAGTGCATATGTAACACATTTCAATCCACACGAATAGTTCCCAATTGTGGGAGCAAATTAATCTTTTACAAGCGCCTCAGCAGCGAGGCTAGAAGATAAACAGTAGGTGAAACAGCACGCGCTCCCCTGTGCGTGAACCTTCCTATTACAATAAACTCCCACATTGCAGCTCCCCACATCCAGTCGCCCGCCACTCTCTCTGCTCATGAGGCAGCCCAAGCTGCCCCCTGCCACCTCTGCCCTGCTGGGGGAGTTCTCTGATCAGCCACCCGGGTGGGGACATGCTGCCATTTTCAGTTTGCAAGGAAGAGCCTGCAGATCTGCTTCCTGGAAGACAGACATTGCTGACTTGTCGTCGGCCTCCAGAATGCAGAAAACATCCATTTCAGCGCCGCTCCTCAGAGGTGGAAACACCTGCCACTTCCTTTCTCAGCTGCAATTAACATGCTGCATCTCAGCATTGATTGACTCCGAGCCGCCTAACACAGCCAAATCAAGGTTTAAACGAGAGAGTATATCCTGATATTATTTTTCACAGTTTTAGAAACACGAACTTATTTGTGTTTTTATTGCCAAAGCAGCGCTACAAGAGTTGGGGCTGCAAGTCTTTATGCTTAAGATGAATGTGAGTAGAATAGGTTGATGCTTTTAATAAAAAATAGTTCTGTATCTTTGTATTTATTTGGGAATGGTACTTGTTTATGTTTGTATTTTGTGTGTGGGCAGAGTGGAGGAAAAATATTCTTTCTGTATCCCGGCACCTAGCACAAGGCAGCAGAACCCGATGGGTATTTGGAGAATGTTTCTTAAACAAATAGATAAATAAACGAGTGGTTTGGGAGAGCAAGCTTAAGAACCGTCCTCTTGGTCCATCTTATGAAACATTCTGAACTTAAGACTATCATGAGTTCAGCCAGTGTGGCTCAGTTGAGCATTGACCTATGAACCAGGAGGTCATGGTTCGATTCCCAGTCGGGGTACATGCCTGGTTTGCAGGCTCAATGTCTGGTAAGGAAGCAGCTGATCAATGATTCTCTCATCATTGATGTTTCTATCTCTCCCTTCCTCTCTGAAATCAATAAAAAATATACATATATTTTTGAAAAAAAGACTATCATGAGCCTTTGGTTTAGCTTAGAAGCTGTGTGAGACTATGAAATAGGACCTGAGGCTGGCTGGGGCTTTACGTCTCCCTCAGAGTCCTTCATTGCTTAGCTTTGATCACAAGTGATCTTTCAGGGGCCAGTGAGGGCTGTGTCTGTTTTCATCATAACCTTACTCCTACCGCATACAAAGAAACTGTCTTCAAAATGTACAATATTATACATTTTGAGGGCCTAAGAACGGTCTCTATTGTGAATAAGAAATGGAATCACTTAAAATACTTTAACAGCCACAATGTTTGCGTCCTTTTGGGAATGATCACTGAAATAGTTTCTCTGTACTGGTAAAACAGAAGGCCAGTGCAAGGATGAGATTTATGTTTTAACTTGGCCAGATAAGACAGAGTATTAAACCACAGAGTACAGTCTTTGGAAGAAAAAGTGAACAAATTGCTTCTCTCATCTATTAACAGAATACGAGAGCCAAGAACTACCTTTTTTTCTTGGCCTTCTTAGGAGAATCTTTCTTTTAGATGGAAATAGAACAAATTTAAATAAGTGGCAGTTAATTCTTTTGTACAATGACAACCCAGACACTACACATTTGAGCATCATCTGTCAAATATATGCAAGCATCCAAAGTGCACTTGTATATAACTGACAGAAAAGCCTGGGCTTGAATACGTCTACACATTCTAGAATGAAAACTGAAGTTATATATCTCCTTCTTAAAATAGTTAATATTCTTGCACATCCATAGTCTTACCTCCAAATGCCTGGTGGCTGGAAATATTAGTTTGACTAGCTCCATAAATCTTTAATACTACATAACTCTCTGCCCCAAACATCTGAGTTATTTGTACTAGTATATTAAATAGCTTATGTACCAACATCTTAGTGAAAATAGGTCTTCTCCAAATTATAACATAGGAAAACCAGAATTATGAGGAAATCATATTAGCAATTTCCACCAAATAAATAAAATAGATAAATAGCCATAAGAGATACAGTTTTCATAGATAAATAGATAGGTAGATAGATGCCTATACATGTTTCCTAATATTAGAATTCAGGCACTAAAAGACTTGATTCTGAAAGAAAGGAGAAGGGGGAAAAACCCTACAACGTTAGGAGCTTGATATACCATGGAAACGATGTGTTTTAATATGACCCAAAACATTGGCTGACTCAGGAAATCCAGTTATACTTCTTATTTCTGGCTTGTCGGTTGGCCAGGTCCATGTATATAGACAGCATCTCAAACAGAAGTGGTTCATGGCTCAACTCAAATTGAGGGAAGTTAGGTCTCCAGTCAGAGCTGACTGTTGCAAAGCACCTTTTGTCCAATGACACATTTAAACACTTGCAGAAACGAGAAAGGCCAAACATACAGCAACAAAGGGTTCTCCAGTTCGCCTCTTGTCAATGACAGAGCGAATCTTCAAAGAATCCCATCGAGGGAGAACAATCAAATACTTTATGACAACAGATCACCATTTGAAATCTTTTCTTTGGTTCCATATGAACCATCAAAACATCCCAGGAATTCTACATCAGTGCACAAACTCCATCTCTCAGCTTTCCTTGTACAGTACATTGAAAATGTCATTACGGAATCCATGACCCAGCTTGCGATTCGGTAAGTGGGGTCACTGCACTCAGCTGCACCTTGAAGTCAGAAGTGGTTCTGTCCTTGTCCCGTAGGTTCCTGGGCAACCCCAGTGGCGTCTCAGAGCCACTTCTGTTTCGGACCCAAGAAGACCGTCACTGGGACAGGTTCCTTGCCTTGGATCACCAGCGTGTGCATTTTTATGGCAGCACCAATCTCACCCATAGTTTTATCAACAAATGAAGGCATGTCTTTTAAAAAAATATCCATTTTCTAAAAACGCTTTCCAGTATGTCCCAGGGGCCATAAGGACAGTGCTCTGAGAATAAAAAGCCTTTCTAAGCCAACAGTACTTGGTAAAAACTAGTGATCCTGCTAGTACAAAGTTAAAGTTTTCTTTCCTTTCTTTTTAAATAAAAGTAAGGTTCAAATGTTCTATTAAACTCTCATTGCTTATGTGTATTATATCAAGGCTTATAAATACACCTGGTAAATTAAATCCACCCTGGATTGAATTAACACCTGCTATGTGAGTTATTTGCTTTATGTAATCAGTAATCTCAAGGTTTCTCCTCTTTCGCTGGAAACACAATTTAAATATTAACCTAATCTTTAAACTACTGCTGCTTCCTTCTGACATTTGGGAACCAGTCATCCATGCAAAAAAAAGGGGCAAATATGGATATATTCATGAAAAGGCAGCTTCTTAAAAAATCTCAAGATGTGCAACTCAATGCACTGGGAAGATACATGGTAAAAAGCAGAAGGAAAGTCCATCTGTGTCACCTTCTAGGGTAAACAATGCTGGTCACCTGCCAAGGTCAGCTCCAGTCGGAGAGATCTGCTGAGGTTGACTGCCCATTTCAAAAGCGTCTTTGTATTTTCTTCACTATAATCTCTGGAAGGATCTGGGGCAGCTGTAGCCCGTGAGAGAATTTCAATTTTTGAAAACATATTGCCGTATGGTATAACTCAAGTCGCAGGTCTGACAGATGCTGCCACAGGAAGTAGGAGTGTGTGAGGTGTGCGGGGCAGGATCCGGTCCTTGGCTGGCTCCGAGCGGGAGGGCCCTGCTCACGTCCTGCTCAGCTGACAGCCCCTGGAGAATATGAAGCTTTCAAAGCGCTGGTCTTCAGCCTTTTCTCTGATGCGCTGTTCCTCTAAGGAATCCACAAGTCGGTCCCTTTGCTCAATCACTTGCATCATCTCAGCGAATATTTCTCGCTCCTCATTTAGATCGTTCTCATCTTTCTGGCTCTCTAAAGAAAGAGAAAAAGAAAAATATCAGGCCTCAGGTAAGATTTGGCCCCTGGAGAGCTCCTGGCCTCTGCGTTCTTGATTGTCCTGGACTTGTGCTGCCCTTTAATTTCCATGGAGAAAACAAGGAAAAGAACACCAGGGAACTGCCCTTGAAGCCACAGATTAGAAAGGTGGGTGCTTTGTGCTGCGGGCAGCTCAGTTTCCAACTTGAGACTATATATAAAGTGACGGGGAGAACCCCTTTGTGAGAAAAAGAAGTTAATACCAGCCAAGCCCTACCAAGGCCTCCCCCTCCCCTCTTCTGCACAAAAAAATATCCACAAACAACAAAATGTCTGTTCTCCCTAAACATGTCTGAGCTACAGCAAGCAGAGTTTCTAAGCAGACTGTCTGCACCCGTGGCCAGTGCTTCAATTATGGGAATCCTTTTTCAATTTGTAGCTAATGACGAACCGTAGCCCTTTGGGTAGAGACCAGGCGGAAGCACAGCGAGGCACAGCTGGCCAATAGGAGGATGTGACTGCTCTTCCCCTTAGCCTTTCGGAGCACGTGACCCGCTTCCTACATAGCCTGAAATAGCCACTTGCCTGGGGGAGATAATATTGTTACAGGGAAAGGGTAAGAGACAGGTACTGCAGTCATGCCTTTCTGACATTCAAAACAGGACTTTAAAGCCAAATTTAAGTCTTGTCAGCCAGATCATTGCCTTGGGAGACTTCATACATTCCTGTAGCCCCTTCCGTTTAATACATCAGGAGCCAGGTGAGCCCCGTCCCAGAGTGGAGAAGGGCCGCCTTCCCTCACATCAGGCTTGGTTCTGGGTGGGGCCAGGACGAAGGTATAGATGACAACAGGGAGATAAAGAAGCACCATTCCCTTCTCAGTCCGTGTTTTATGGGCCGGTGAGAACTCTGCCTGTGTTCCAGTCTCTCCATTCTGTACCTTAGAACCCCCAAGGGGGCAGGAAACGTGTCATTTGATGGGAACACTGGAGGCCCAAGGACTTTGCCTCATTCTTGTTTGGAACGCTGGGAAGAAGCCGGCCAGAGGGCAACCTATGTATACACAGGCAGTGCTTTGTGGTTGGGCAGAGAAATAGGGAGTGAGTGTGACTCCCCCGATCTTGATCTACCGTGTGTGGCATGTGTGGAGCCTAGAAGTGCTCACTTGCCCCAGAGCTGCCAAAGGGAGCTGGCCCCTGGGGCCCCCCCCAGGATGAGGGTGAAGTGGCCCCACAGTGGTGAACCTTGGCCAAGCTGAATGGAGGCTGCTCTGAGAGGCTGGTGAGCCAGGGAACGCCCTGAGGCTCCAAGCTCGCCCAGACCAGGGCAGGCTGTGGATTAGCCAGCCACACACTTTAGCTGCAAATGCCGGCAGAGAGAATGGCAGCCCGATGACAGTGGGCAGCTGCGAGGGGACTCCATGACTCAGCGCAACCCACCCAGGTTCCTAACGCCCAAAACTCACACAAACCTGCCTCTCCCCATTACCTGGCAGTCACCTTGGGGAGAAAAGCAGAAGGAAGGGGTGGCCATCTGCAAGATCGACCATTTTCATCCCAAAGAGACTGAGCATTTCCTACAGGAACTGTTTAAAATATTGCATCAGACTAAGTTTACCAGAGAAGGGGATATGAAGTTCTTTTTTTTTCTTCTTGCTAATTAGTGGGATGAAGCTTCTGTGGGAGATGAGCTCGGGTACAGACAAAATGAAGAAGCTGAATATTTTTTTTGAATACCCGAGAGGGGTGAGAAAATGTATGACCATCAGTCCTCAGTAAGAATTGTTTTAAAAAAGAATTGAAGGTTGGCTAATGGAGTCTTTGGTGGTATTTATTTGACCACCCCTGAAACAGAGTGAATTAAAATCGGTATCAGATGTGTGAATCAGACCTCAGTTTTACACTATGGTTTGTTAATTAAGTATATTCCAGTCCAGTGCTCCTTATTTGATAATCAACTCAGTAAAAATTTTAAATTTCTCTCAATTTTGGCTTGTCATTTAAGCCCTTTCTGACAATCCAAGGTGATGTATACCACTTTCATCTGTCCCACAGAGTGCAGCTCTGTAAAGATATTGTTAGAAATGGAACTCTTGCCATAAAGAAACAGTCTACAAGTCAATACTAACAGGAGACCCTGAGTCTGTGGTGATCTGTTCTTTAATTTCAGCCCTATCATTTATCTTGAGCATGCTTGTTAAGTTCTCAGACTCAGTTTTCTAATCTGTAAAATGGGGGTGAAATACTGAAATAAAAATATTCATGATGATGATGTCTAATAGTTACTAAGTGCTTGCCCTGTACCCATAGGTAGGCGCAATGTTCTGTCCATGAGGTATAAAGGAATTATTTGACTTGTTCTTTTAGACCTATGGTCTTAATGTAAGAAAGCCATGCATGGGTCGGGCCCCACAAGCACACAGTGCAAAATAGAGTGAACGTGCCCAGATGCCTGGAGTCAATGAATGTATAAATCAGTATATCGTGTCAATTGTGTTTACTTCAATTCTCTGTCCTTCATGGTGAAAATAATTTCCTCACATACAATGCCCTGGCCCAGCTATGCTTGGGAAGGATGTTTCCTTTACCGCCCCCTAAGTGGTCCCCAAACCCCTGTGTCGTGGTGCTCATCTCACTGTACCATAATTCCTGGACGGGGTGTTGGTCTCCACAGAGAGACCACAGGTCACAGTGGATCTCCTCCATATGCCAGTCACACACTGGATCCTCCATAAATATTTGCTAAAGGAATGAATGGATAAGGGAACATATGTGTGAATAAATGACTTTGTTCCTATTCACACTTGGGATGGAGCAAAGTGCTGCTCTCCCAGGCTGAGTGAATGAAGCCGGATGGGGACTGCTGTGCTGCGGGCGGTGGGCAGAGGGAAGGCTGGCTTTGTGCTCCCCTCTGACTCCCAGGAAGGGGGCCCTCCCCTCTGAGATTTGCAGCGTGCTCTGCTCAGGTGTCTTTCTGAGGGGAATTGTCTTTAACAAGGACCCAAAACACATCACCGTACTCACCCTCCTTGAGCATTTTCTCTCTTAATTTCTGCTCCAGTCTGCTTTGATGATCTTCTAATTCTAGCTCTTGGGCCCTGCGGATGAGAAAGCATTCAAACCTTATAAATACTAGAGATTTGTGTAGACGCACTGACAAATAAGCCCACTGACAGTAGCTACTGCATTCTTCTTCCCTCTTATATCTCTAAACTGGATGTTTTGCTGCTGCCGGTCACTGAAGGTGCCGAGAGGGTTGCTGAGATGTGCTGGGCTCAGGAGATGGTGGGAGGGACTGAAGGGTGCGATGCGACCTCCGTGCGCTTTAGGAAGGCCATGCAGGCGACCCTTTACTGAAGGGTCATGAGGAAATGACTAGAATAGTCCAGGGGGAAGCAAGGACAATCTTACCCTCTTTTGAGGGTAACATGACTTCAAGTATCACCTATAACTGCTCCCAACTCTGATTGTGATGGACAGGAAAAGGAGAAAGCAGAAACAGGAGACATTTTGTCCAGGTGGAGGCAACAAAACTCAGACAGCCATCTGGTTGTAGGAGCTGGGGAAGGAAGAGTCAGTGGACCCTGGCCAGGTAGCTCAGTTGGTTAGAGCGTTGTCCGGATACACCAAGGTTGTGGGTTCAACCCCCAGCCAGGGCACATACAAGAATCAACCAATGAATGCACAGATAAGTGGAACAACAAATTGATGTTTCCCTCTCACTCTCATCGATGTTTCTATTTCTTTACCCCTCTCCCTTCCTCTCTCAAATCAATAAAATAAAAAGTATACATTAAAAAAAAGAGGTGGGTCCATCATATTTTTGTGACTATATAGATAAGCATGTCTAATTCTGGAGTTTGGCTCATGTCATGGGTTGAAAAATGGCCCCAAAAAGATATGTCCACGTCCTAACCCCTGGAACCAGTGAATGTGACCTTATTTGAAAAACGTTTTGGCAGATGTAATATATGTAGTTAAGTTAAGGACCTTGAGATGAGAATATTCTGGATTATCCCAGTGGACCCTAAGTCCACTGACAAGTATCCTTACAAATGAAGAGGACGACACAGACACCCAGAGAAGGCCACGTGAAGACAGAGGCAGAGAGCGGAGTGATGCAGACACAAGCCAAGGGATGCCTGAAGCCACCAGAGGCTAGACAGGCAGAGGGAGCACGGCCCTGCTAACATCTTGAGTCAAACTTTCCTCTTCCAGAGCAGTGAGGGAATACATTTCTGTTGTCATAAGACACACAGTTTGTGGTAATTAATTATTCTGGCCCTAGGACAGTAATACAGACAGCAAGCTCACCTGGGCTCTCACATTTAGCCAAGCCATTACCAGTAATAAAGGTGATCTTTTGATGTTTCATCTAGTGGCTTGGTAGTCTTATTTCTCACCTGGTCCAGAACCCAGCCAAGGGAGAGGAACAGAATGTATTAGGCATCTTAAAAGATAGCTCCCCCCTCCCCCAATTACCTCTCAGGATTGGGGTGAAAATAAAATGAGACAGCATAAGTGAAAGCACCCAGTACAACTTGTGGCACTTAATTGCTTTACATTAATGTTACTCTCTCGCCAGAATGGTGACAGGTAGAGACCTTCAACTTTGTCAGAGTGTGTTGATATACATCTCTACTTTCTTTTTTTAAAAAGCTGTTTAAAAATATTTTTTATTGATTTCTGAGAGGAAGAGAGAGAGAGAGAGAGAGAGAGAGACATCAATGATGAGAGAGAATCATTGATTGGCTGCCTCCTGCACCCTCCACACTAGGGATGGAGCTTGCAACCTGGGCACGTGCCCTGACTGGGAATCAAACTGTGACCTCCTGGTTCATAGGTCAACGCTCAACCTCTGAGCCATACCGGCCTGGCCCATCTCTACTTTCTGATCCTCAAACCAGGCTGCTGCCTTTTATTTAGAGAAGACAGCCAGACACTCAGTCCTTCAACCCGCTAAGGCCGTAGGAAGTGCCCAGGCTGCTCTCGCCAAGCCTCTCTTGTGGTTCACGCTCAGAGGCCAGAGATATGCTTCCCGGTTGCAGGTGTGTGTTTGCAGGTGGGTCCCTTTGGCCTGGGCCGCAGGGATGGGTTGAAAATACTTTTTCCAAATGCCCCCCAGCTCCAGCCCCATTACCTGAAATCTATTTTAGCTACAGGACTTCACAGACAGAATAGATAACTGAAGATTCTCTGCACTAATGCCAGCATGATATGCAAGACATCAAGTATCAATTTGCCTCAATCACAATTCTGTATGCACAAGAAGAAAAAAACCCCAGGACTGCCACCTAGGAGGGTGAGCCACCCCACTCCCGCCCCGCGTTGCGTTTAGGCCTCACTGCTATCCGTGTTGCCTTACTTACATGATCAGTAGCTCCGACTCATATCGCATTAATTTATTCTTCTCCAGAACCAGCTTAAACCATTCCTGCAAAAGCTGTGCTTCGTCCTGTGTGCCTGAATCTGCTTAAGAAATCAACGACAAATGGGTTAGATTGGCGCTTCTCTCCACCTGATCAAACTGTTTTGGAGCTGCTTTAGTGGACCATGTTTGTAGCAAAAAGAGCTCAGCAGGCAGCAGTCCCCCGATGGCCTGTTGATGCCTCCAGGTCAGGGACATGAAAAATAAAACCCACCTGTGAATGCTCTAGGGGAGGTCCCCTTTCACATTTAGGACATGAATACTTCAGTTCCAAGGTCATATACCCTTGATAATGTCCTGTCACAAATGACCCTTCTGCCTACTTATATGTTCTCAGTACAACTTCTATAAGTTTGTGCATCACATTCTTCTCCGAAGAAAACCCGAATAACCCTGCTGGTTTGTGGGGTGTGGCTACAGTGTTTGGACAGGTTTAAGCCTTGGACTGAGGAGAGGGCACAGTCCTCTCATTGCCACATGCAAGTCCCAGCTTGGAGGGCAGAGCCCACCCAGCACAATTATAGCCAAGAGCTATAGTTGTCAGCTTGAACCTATGGTCCGAACACGTGGCCCCATGTGCCTGAGTGATGTGGGCTTGATAGAGTTCAGGTGCATGTAGTTGAGTGGGATTGAAACCCACGAGAATGTTGTTGATCACACCCTTACTTTGCCTCGTGGCATCTGCTATAAAATAAAGACACGGCTTGTGGGCGCAGGCGCTGTCCATCAGAGGAGCAGCATCCCACCGAGACCCAGCTTTCATTCTCTTGTCTGTCTTTTCTAAGCCTTTCACCACCCCCACTCAGGGTCACTGAACCAGGCTGAGCTGGCATGGCACATAAGGCGCCCTGGGGCTGAGTATGCCATGGCCATGCCAGCTCACCACACTGGTTACTGTCTCCTTCTCCTCCAACATCAAATGCCCACTGAGTGCCCAGGTGGGGTGTGGCTTCCTTCATGGGGCAGAGAAGCTCATACCACATTTGGTCATAAAGGAGTGGTAATTGGCATTTAGATTTTTGGCAAAAGAAAAGGCAAATGAATAATGTTATTAGCTTTGAGATTCATAGAGAAAAAGTTATATCCATATAATCTTATAACTCAGATTACAATCTTTATAGCCATATATTCTTATAACTTAGATTATGACTAAGCATTGACCCTTTGAACCAGGAGGTCGCAGTTTGATTCCTGGTCAGGGTGCATGCCTGGATTGCAGGCTCAATCCCCAGTGTGGGGTGTTCAGCAGGCAGCTGATCAATGATTCTCTCTCATCATTGATGTTTCTGTCTCTCTCTCTCCCTCTCTGAAATCAATAAAAATATATTTTTAAAAATGAATTCCCTTATCTCCCTGTCTTCTTTTAGTAATAAGGAAAATGGGGTCCAGAGAGATGTATATACAATGCTCTAAATTATATATTTAGTTAATGTGCAAACTGGTGCTACAATGCAGCTCTTCTGCTGAATTCATTCATTCATTCATTCATTCATTCATTTATGAAATAGGTGTTGGGTAGTGCCTTACGTACTTGGGATACAGTGATAGGCAACCCATCAAGGGACTGTTCTCAACCTTCTATAGACTCTCAATGCATCCAATTGGTATCATCCAGCCCACATTCCTATGTCTTGTCTGATAGGAAACTTTGGTAACAAAGTCATTTCCTGAAATCAAGCTTCCCATTGTGGGCCATGTCCATCGGCACCTTGCAACTCCACTCAGAAAAGGACATGACATTTGTTTTTCATGGCTTCTTAGTAAACACCAGTGGTTCCTTAGTAATCTCTAAATGTCTTTCTAAATAGTCACAATTTTAAAAATAATCCTACCTAGAATTTTGACAGGGATCAGAATTCATGTTTCTTTCCCAGGTGGAAAGTAGAAAATGTGCTCGTCTCTAGGTCTTTTGGCTCTGCGAGGCTTCCTGAGTTTTCAAAGACTGAGGTTACATCTGCAAGTGTTTTCAACACCAGAGGGTTAATACGGTTCATTCAACAAATTCTGATTGAATAATGCCACATCCAAGCCTCTATGTATGTATCATCTTACACCGGGACTTAGAAATCTGAGTTCATGGCTCTCCCCTTTTTCTCACCTGTCCAGATTCAATTTCCTCTTCTAGATGGTTGTTTAACATTTCTAGATTGAGGACCATTTGCCTCGATAAAGAAAACAGGAAAGCTGAGAGTTGAGAATCCTGCTTTTCCCCATCGTGTGACATGATACCATCTGCCTCAGCACAGGGTCTGTTCTCTCCTTGTTCCCAATCCAAAAGAAACAGCGCTACTTTGCCGTCTTCAGAGTATTTTTTGTTGTTGCTTTTCAGATTCAGCCTCTTTGCTGCATTATACCCTCAGGCTCCAACCAGACTTTTATCCTGGATTTCATGTCCCTTTTCCAATCTTCCTCATGTGTCCTTCTAAAATCTGGCCCACTAGAGGGTCCCCTGTGCAGTCCCACTAATTTCTTTTTTTATTTGGTTAATATATATATGTTAATCCTCACCCGAGGGTATTTTTCCATTGATTTTTAGAGAGTGTGGAAGGGAGAGGGAGAGACAGAGAGAAACATCGATGTGAGAGAGACACACTGATTGGTTGCCTCCTGCAGGCACCCCGACCAGGTTCGGGGGAACCTGTAATCAAGGTACATGCCCTTGACCAGAATTGAACCCAGGACTCTTCAGTCCACAGGCCGATACTCTATCCACTGAGCCAAACCGGCTAGGGCTCCACTGATTTCTATTGGTGCTATTCTCCACAAACACAGGTTGAACTGAATCAATTTAATTTTTTTTCCAATGGAGTAATTTGTAATTTTATAGCCTACAGTTCATTTTTTTTAGAGGCTTCCTTTCCTCAGTAGTCAAAAACCCCTTTAAGGGATCTTCAAATGTGGACTCCTGTGCAGATTCCCAGGAAATCTGCCTTTCCAAAGACTTGGGTCCAGGGGATTGTGCCTTCCCCATACTGGCCTTGCTCTCAACTCTAAGGATGCACCGAGACTTTGCTCCATAATCTCCAAGACTCACTGCCTCCCATCAGAAAACTTCCTGTGGGTCCTGGTGAAGCCTGGACCAGCGTTGCCCTCACTGCAGAAGTGGCAGAGGGCCTGGGCTTGAAGATCCAGCGGACCTGGCTCAGCCACTTACCCAATGTGTGACCTTGGGCAAGCAGCCTCACATCTCTCCACCTCCGTGTCTTCCGGTGAAAAACAGGGATGATCGTAGTACCTGCCTCCTAATTAGTTATGGGGATTAGGTGAGATGATGCATGTAAAGTGCTTACCATGGGGGTTGGCACATAGTAAACAGCCAATAAACTGTCCCTTCGCTGTTAGTACCTGCTGTTTCTTCCAGTGTCGACTTCTATATAGTTTCCTGTGGATTATTTTCGGTTCACCTTTAAAAGTCAGCTAGAGTGCAATCCCTGACTTGGTTATACATGCCTAAACTTTGCCTTGTGACTTCACTTGAGGTTAATAAAAACTCTTAACAAATTATTATTATTTTTGGCCCCATGTAAATGAGAAGGTCAGAAGGCTGCTGGCTCATCAGCACCTGCTCGGGAGGACGCCAGTGCTCTGCCTGCAGGGATCATTGGCTCAGGCACGTCTCCATCTGTGGCTGCTGTGGGACTGGAAGCCTAAGGCAGGGGTGCGAGGCCTGTGTCTGGGAACCAGGGTGCAGCTGGAATGGTGCTGCCGGAGGGCGCCCAGCCCTGGCTCTGTGTAGATAGCTCGGCCACCTACCCCTGACTGCCTCCTCTGCCAGTGTTACCACCGGCTGGTCTTCATTCGCTCACGTGTACTGTACTCATATCATGCCTTTTCCTAGACAGACTGCAAGGTTTCCACTTGCTCGGGTGGAGCAAAGTAATCAAAACTCAACACAACTTTTTTTAATGGAGTTATATTTTGTGCTTTCAAAATATGTTTTTTATTGATTTCAGAGAGGAAGGGAGAGGGAGAGATAGGAACATCAATGATGAGAGAGAATCACTGATCAGCTGCCTCCTGCACACCCCACACTGGGGATTGAGCCCCCAACCCAAACATGTGCATTTGACAATTGAACCTGAGGCCCTTCAGTCCACAGGCCAACGCTCTATCCACTGAGCCAAACCAGCTAGATCTGGAGTTATTTAAATTGACCCACTTTTCCCTAAGTGAGCTCTAAAAACTACAAAGCAAATTTGGTTACTCCCTACTGAAGTTGTCCGATTACCCTCCACATTCAAGTTCAAGTCACCTAGCTGGACAACACTTCGTCCCTGCTTCCAGTTGAGGGATTGGCACTTATGGTCAGTAACTTTTCCCCAGTGAATAAAAACAATACACGAACAATCTAGTCTTTAAAGTCACGGGTTTTTAACCATTTTCTTTTGTTGGTAATGCTGAATACTTCTCTGACTGTGTGCTGGTGTGTGATTTTTTCCAGGTTGGGTCTTGTCTAAGCGCTGTCTGCTTTTCAACTCTCTGATTCTTCAGACGTGATTTCCTGCCTCCATAGAATCTGTGAGAATCCTCGTCTGGTGTTTGCTGCACTTCTGTGTCTTCCACATCCTCACGATGATCTGGGCACGAAGGGCAGTAGCGTAATTGCAGCCAGAACCCTCTGTCACTGCGCAGGCGTCTCCCCCGGAATGGCGGGGGTGCAGCCTCTGCCTCTCCTTGCTGGCCTCTGGTCCGCTCTTAGCTCCTGTGCTCATCCCAGCCTATTTCATTTTAATCTCTAGCCAGGCCTTCTGTACCCAGCGCTCCGGGTACCCTGACCTCCCACAGGCGCCTTACACATGTTGGTGACGATCCAGAACACTGCACTGTGGGTGTGGCCTGGTTCAGTCTTGACCAAGCCAGGATGCTGGAAGGAAGCCCTCAATTCCATTCCGGGAGCCAGAGGCTGCAGTTAAAAAACAAAAGATCTAGTGTCCTTCCTTTTTAAACACTTTTTTGTATGTTTGTTTTGTTTTGCTTTTGGCTACATATCTATTCATTATAAATAAAGTTTTTCTTGCTTTAGAATTTTATTGAAATGATATTA